AAGACATGAGACGACAGCTACCTTGTAGAGAGCTCTAGTAGACGGGCGAACGTTGCGGTGGGGTTCAGGAGCGTGGCAACGGCAGCCTAAGAGTGCGTTAGATCGCATTGTGGTCGACTATATCCTTTGCAATTGATGGTTACGCATGTGCCCAGACGTACTGTGCATGACGAATTGAGGCGAAGGATCGCATCCCAGGTAATTTTTTAAAGGACGAAGGCGTTCCGATCACCGGGATCGTAATTTTATGTTTCTGAGCTATCGGGCTCTTGTGGGAATCCATCATCCGGTGCTCGAAAGGCCTACGTCTTCTGTACCGTGCATGGTCTTCTGCTGGATTGTGGTACTCGGCCTTCCGATTGCAGCGCCTTTACCTAACCCATATTTCGGAAAAAATAGCTTAAAGTGATGATAGTTCAGCCATCGTTTTCCACCAGGTTCACCAGCAGGTTTATACAGTGACGGTGACTGCCTACTCGGGTAAATTAAAATGATAGCGGACGTAGGTAGCGCCAGCCTCATTCTCCACCTTCACCATGGGTCAAGAAGACCAGTGTCACATTTTAATAAGTTTGGGCTAGTGTACTGCTGCTATAAGTAATATGCCACTGCTAAGAGTGCTATTTATATTAATCATTCTATTCTAGTAATGCAGTCCTATAATTATATCAATAGCTGACGTACATCCTGTTGTTGCAACCAGCATAACAGATAGGAATGTGAGCTTACGTGCGTCCTAAACTTACTCGGAGCTTATTTGTAAGACACCCGGTCGAGCGTTGACGTCCGATATATAAGTGAAACTGTCAACAAACGACGAATACTCGTACCCGTTAGAAGGGCATCCAAGGTCACTCAGAATTGAGTGGTTGATTGTGTTTTTAGTCACACGATCAGGGCCGACTAGAGATCGTGATGATTTGACACATAGAGGCGAGTATCGTAGAGTACCCAGTTTGCTTATCCCTGGAACAGCGGAGAGGCACACGTCAATTTTCTCTTTGACGGTAGAACTACACTGACATATAATTGAACGACTTTCATTTCAAACGTCTCTCATTCTGTAAAGCGTATGCAAACGGTAGTACGCAAGTGTGTCCCTGCCAAACGTGAGTAAACTCCGATACTGTTTCTCCCAGACCAAGGAAAGCTTCTAATTGATTCCTTTTTTTTTTCCTGCCTCTGTACCTATTTGAAGCTCTCTCTAAACTTTTAATACAGTAAGTATTGCAGATCTTGAAAGTCGCATGACGTTCACGAGTCAGATTTTCATCCCGTATCTTTACGTTTGTTTTCTCCTTTTACTCCTCCGCCTCACTGTAGATGGTAGCTCGTGGCAAGGACTGTTCGGATCTGTTTGCCGCCGTCGTAAAAAATGTCGTCTCAAAGGATCCTGAGGTACATTCTTTTGCCGTTCGTGTACTGATGCCCTGATGAAGTGTAACTTTCTTCCACCAGACCTTTTGATTTCTGTTTGTTTTTGTCACCCCTCCCGCTTTTTCAGCTGAAGAAATTAGTTTATGTCTATCTCACGCGGTACGCCGAGGAACAGCAGGACTTAGCCCTCCTCTCAATCGCAACTTTTCAAAAATCGCTCAAGGTACTTGACTTATTATTAAATCAGCATTTTTACCTTGTGCTAGGCACAAATTTAAAGCCAGTGAAAACAGAAAAATTTGCTTGTGCAAGTAAATTTTGGGAGAGCCTGTCAACTACTTCCTCTCTTTGCATGAATAAGATAAGAATTGGAGAACACAGCATCGTGAATCTTCACAGAACCAATAATAGCATGGTCATTTTTAACGCGTTCGTTTTGAAAGGCTATTTAAGTAGCATTGTAATTTTCACTATCGTACAGCATAATCTCAGGATATTTAATTCACGTCGGAATGCTGGCTTTTGAACAAGTTTTCTTCACACGCTTGCCAAAGCTACATTGTAAGAAGGACGACTTCGATCATCTTATGAATTCGCATATCTTTTATAGAAAATATGCATAAAGATTCTTTCTTATACCGATTGGGTATCGTATTTTGTCTCCTTCGAACCCTTGTAGAAAGGGTATAGTTCGGATTTAAAAAGTTTCTAATGGTAAGATTTTTTAACACTGTAGAATATAAATTCATAAAGAATTGTATTGGCTTCATTCATTAGTACTGCGTGTAAAGTATGCAACATGGTACACATTAATTACAAAATTATCTGAACACTGCATGACGTCTTCCTAATAGAATAGGTTGACTGAATGCAGCTTGCGGTTTGTAAACTCCGACTACAAGTGTAACGGCAGACTAGGTTCAAAATTATTTGGCAATTAAAAAAAACTTTTTTAAACCCGGAAGCATATTCTTCCGTGCTTATAATACATATTTAAATTTAAGTTGACCCAATTGTGAAGAAACTCGCAGCGTTCGGCGGGATTTGAACCCGCATAGTAGGGAAGGCCTTAATGCGAAGTCAATGCTCTACCAGTTGAGCCACAAATGCCACGCCTTGCGCCGTGAACTTTATCACACTTGGATGGATTTTACCCGCCCAACTTTACTGCTCGTATGGAATCTACCAATACGGAAGGGCAAGCTGACAGCCCAAGCAGGATTTCCTAAGCAATCATCTAGAATCTACCAGAATAACTATTAGGCTAACTTGTTGTTAAGGAGTTTTGGCAGATTTGCTTAATTTAAGTTGACCCAATTGTGAAAAAACCCTGCTTTGCGGGTTCAAATCCCGCCGAACGACGCGAGTTTTTTTTTTCATAATTGGGTCAACTTAAACTAAGCACATCTGCCAACCCTCCTTATTACATATCTGAATGTCTGCGAACATTGAAAATAAATAAGAAAAAAGTCCGCATTTGTCAATTAGTCTTTTTTACGGAGTGTAGTTTTTGCAGGCAGCCGGAATGACGCTCGATCGAAAAGCCTGCACCCTAACGTGACGGAAATATCTTACACTTATGCTGCACGATAATCAATAACAAGGCACTACTTAAGTAACCTTTTTGAAAAGAATCACGTCATGAGAAAAAGCAACTCTACTGTATTGTATCTTTTCTGCACGGCAGACCGCGAGATGCAGATTTGGCAGTTTCTGGGGCCCCCTGACGTGCTCTGAATACAAACTTTTGCAACTATTTTTAGGACCCCAATCAACTCATACGCGCCTGTGCCCTTCGCGTCCTCTCCTCCATTCGCGTGCCTGTCATTGTGCCCATCCTGATGCTGGCTATCCGAGACGCCGCGTCCGACCTGTCGCCTTACGTCCGCAAAACTGCTGCTCACGCTATTCCCAAGCTATTCAGGTAGCCTGAAGCCTGTTGTCATTGCATCATTCACCAAACACGTTTCCCTTTGAAAACTCATTTTTAGTCATTTTGCCTCAGTCTGACAAGTCTTCCTTTGCCCCCTCGTTAAGGACAAAGTTCGGCCGTCGAGTATTATCTAGGATAATAGGTGTTGCCTTTGAAAACCCTATTATAATGTACACAAAGGGACTCATGTTCAAAAAGATATTTCACTATAAAAAAGGGAGTAATATATTAATATGAATGAATTATTTTTGTAACTGAGCTTTAGGAACAGCCCTCCTGAAGAATCAGCGATAAATAGATCAAACACTAGATATCAGGGTTATCTGTAGGTACGAGCAAAGCGTTGCTGTGTTGTAATGGAGCTTTCCTGTTCGCATAAACGGCATTTTTCAAGTAAATATTTAGCTTCTAAGAAGCTCCACAGAACCAACTTTTTCTCGAGTAATATAACGTCCTTAAGGCTGTTTGGACTAGCTTTGGCGGAAGTTTTTCCTGGAAATTGCAAAATTATAGCTACTGCCAAAGCGCAAAATACCGAGGTTAAGGTAGTAGTCCATCCGGTGGATCCTAGATGATTACTGTCTGGCAGTCAGCTTACTGCGTCCGTATTGGTGGATTTTATTGACGGGAAAACTCGGGCCACCTTCGTTGCTGCTCCTCTTGTACGTACATGTTTGTGTATGCGTATGGGAGGAGAAGGAGGACTGAGAGTCAGGCTGCAATGGCTC